AATACACCAATGTATTTATGTTTGGGATTTTAAATTAATTTCATTGCATTCATTAAGAAATTATTCAAGCTGAGAGGTTGTTTTAAGAAATAAACAAAGCAATAATTCATGGAAACTTCGCATTGCATACTTGGTAAACAATGTTAGCACGGAGTGCTACTCAGTACTGAATGAAATTGCTTATGTACTTTTGTTATCTACTGTATATTTATTAGGTATCTAGAAAGATATCTATGTTTACGATAGGTTTCTTTTTATACAACAAGAAAAACAAAAAAACTGAGGGCCCATCCGATGGAAAGTGGTAACCGTCGCCATAGGGGGGGGAAAAGGATTGTTAGCAATGGAGTTTGACAGCTCCATTGCCAGCAATGTGCCCTATTAGGTCGACCTCCACGTGGTTCCCCCTGGAAACCATCGTGAACAATTCTCGTTGAATTCGTCACGATGGGCTAACTGACCTGCTTCATTCTCACCTATCATTTTTTACTAGTGCCCCGCCGGTGTATACTGATAGCGTTGGTGGGGTTACCATACCATTATCACCCATAAAAAAAACCGTCGCCATAAACATGAGAGGTATCATGGACAGAGTATACTGTTTCGCCGATGATAACCCCTATGCGTTGCCATTCCTGAGGATTTAGGTGTTATTTCTCTGTACCCTGTAAATTCACTGCCATGTCCCACCCATCAAACCAAAACACAGCCATGCGAACACAACTGCTTCACGGTAGAAACACGAATGGGACAGAGGTGCCCAAGCAAACGCTTTTGTACAAAGCCTCCCTCTGGTGGGGAGGGATAGTTATGATGTCAATAGAGAGTAGAATATCATTCATTAATTATTTCATATTATTAATTTTCATCCGACTTCAAGAAGATTTTCGACTTGGCTGTATTTTGATTTTGTATGGTATTTTATAACTTCATCATTTATAAACCGATTTGGAAAATTCTTTATTTATCTGAAAAGATATTTACAAATTGGTTCCATAGAAATTTCATCAACATTGATTTATTAATTTAGTTAGTCCAAATAATGGGGTTTTCCACAATTTGAAGTTGGTGTTTTGGGAAACATAATCTTTATATACGAGTATATAATATACAAAACAAAAAGGTATGTAAGTATCTGTTGAGTATTTTGTTTGTTCTTTTCGCTCGAGAAGAAAATTTATAGTATGTATGTAGTATATGAAAATATGGTGAAAAATCCATTTAATCAGGTTAACTTCTCTAAAAAATAAACTACTACAAAATCTAGAACAGGGAAAAATGCAGGGAACTTTTTAATTCCTAGCATGTAACGGAATAGCGCGGGTGGAATTGCTAGAAATATTTTTTTGTGTGACTTGAAATGGCAAACGAGCTGACGGCCCACCTAATGGAAAATGGTATGAAACGTACTATAGACAGTACAGAATATACTGTCATAGCTATGGTTGCCGTATTTATTTATTCATTAGTACACGTACGTATATATGGACATATGGTGGACTTTATACTAAAATCATTTTCTCTCAGTCTATATATATATATATATATACATATACAAATATATATATATATATATATATATATATATATATATATATATATATAGTCATTAATATTACAAAAACAGCATTAAATTAAATCGAATATTAGAAGTATTGTATATAAGAATAATATACTTACACTATATATTTTTATACATATATAAAATATACTATATTAAACACGAATGAGAATAATATGTAGGTAATACTTACTGCTCGAATAAAGTATACAAGTGAAAAAAACTTTTTTATTCTTACAAACATACATATCTGTCACGCCTGTCTCCCATTAGGGTAGGCAGAAACAATGGAACGCCAAATGCTTCGATTCAAACAAACCTCTTTCACTTCTTCCACATTCATCAATCTTTTCGTACACGCTCGCCGGTTACGGGTACTTTTAATTTGGCCCTTCTTCAGCACGTCGCCTATTTGGTCAACATACGTCCGCCTAGGGCGGCCTCTACCGACATCTCCATTCATTCTTGCTCGATAAATCTCTTTCGTAATTCTTCTTTCATCCATCCTCTCCAAATGACCAAACCAACGCAACATTCTTTTTTCGATTTTTGTCACTACATCGTCTTTCAGTCCACACTTCTCTCTAATCACATTGTTTCTTACTCTATCTTTTAATGTAATTTTTTTTTTATTCTTGTAGAATAATAAATAAATGTAAAATAAATAATAATTATTTATATCTGTATTTGTATCGCAAATATTATCAGTGTTAATTATAAACAAATAAACAAATCCAAAATTAACATTTCTTAAAATTGATCATTGATATAAAGTACAATGCAAGATTCATATTCCTATGCAAAAACATGTATTTTTTACGTAAAAGATTCACGAAATTGAAATATACTTACTACAGATTTTTCAATGTCCATTCGTGGGTATATAAAATGTAGGTCCAGTCCAGTCTTAAATATTTTTTCTCTATTGATTTTAATAGAAAAAAAAAAAAAAACTAGTACTCTATTCAGAGGGAGACTGTTAAAAAAGTCATCAGCTTGGATACCTCTGTTCTATTCGTGCTTCTAGTGTGAAGCAGTTGTATGCATGGTTCTGTTTCGGTTTGGAGGATTCGATATGGCAATAAAATTACAGAGTACAGAGACATAACACCCGAGTCCTCAGGAATAGCAACGCATGAAGGGTTACACGGGCGATGCAATATTCTCTGTTATGCCCATGGTAATGTTCATCTCTATAGGCGACGGTTATCACTTTCCATTAGGTACGCCGTTAGCTTGTTTGCCATTCGAAGTCGCATAAAAAACCCTTCTATAAATTGTTGTGTTCTAAATAACGGGTCCATTCGTTGTTTATATCATTTTCACAGATTTCATTTGTTTTGTCCGTGCAATATGAACGTCTGTAAATATACTTTTTTTCTATTTTATGCAATTTTTACCATAATATTAAAAGCCATCTAAGCCTAATCTAAGGTGTTGGGGGGAAAGGTATTGTTAGTAATGAAGACTGAGAATCCTATTGCTAGCAATATACCCAACCAGGTTGACCTCCTCGCGGTTCTCCCTGGAAACTATCATGGTTAATTTCTGATGAATTCATCATGATGGGCTAACTGGCCTGTTTTCATTCTCATCTATCACACTTCACTGGTGCTCCGCCAGCATATCTCGTTAGCGCAGGCGGGGTTACCATACCATTTTCACCCATCAAAAAAAATCTAAGGTGTTACAAGTATAATGGAATTTAAACACTCAAAGCTTTACATAAATTATTATTATTACCATGTCAACCTTTAACTGTGCCCTGCTAAACATAGGCTTCCCCTATAACAGGAGTTTTGCCAGCTATTGCCACACTCGGCAGGCGGATTGACGACCACAAATTTTGGTAATGTTTTAATAGGGACGCTGCTGTTCATTCCTCGACTTTAAGTTCCCCGCCTCTTACGATACCAAAGGCAAAAGAAGGAGCGGCTTATTCTATTCCTATATATAATAATAGCGAAAGAATAATTAAAATAGTTTCAGCTCTGGTTTTTAGTGTTCGATTGTGAATCTTGAATTTTTTGTATATCAATGTTAACAATGTAATTTAACAATATACAATTTTGACCATTGATAATTAAATGAGCAATCATGTTGTAACTGATAATAATTCAGAACGAACAAGTTTATCTAGATATCGTATTGATAATACAATAAGGAAATTTGTATATTTTTAGGAATTACCTTAAACAGAGTTGTACTGTGTATTTATAAGTTAAACATGTCTAAAAATAATAATATAATTGTAGTGTTGATTTTTGTAGTCGCTTGGTTTTTTAATGTAAGATAACGATTTGCGATTTACTTTACTTCATCATCATTTATTCATTAATGTACATAAATATTGCAAATATACAGAAACATACAGACATATTTCATTAGGAAAATTGTTTTTCTTGCTTTTTTTTAAAAAAAAAAGAACTATAAGTATTAATACTGTAACGAGAGTATCACTGTCAGTTGAAATTTTAAAACTTGTAATCAAAAATAAAATATGTTATATTTATTAAGTAATTATTGTTGCAATCGTTCGTATGTTACGTTAACCGTTTACTATCAGACGGGTCGTATGCTTGTTTGCCTTCATAGTTAGTAGTACAGAATATATATGTATATACACAAACTTCTTAATTGTTATTCTCTTATTTAACGTCATTGTTTTGTGGTGTTGTGCATCATCATTTTCGTCATCATTTTCATCCACTTTTCATTTTGAACTGAACATACGTCTTTCATTGTAATATATTGCTATGTTTCTGATCCCTCTTTTATATAACATAATGTAATAAAACCACTCATATGCCTCATCTCAACATAATGTTTTTTTTTTCGTTTTTATACCTAAGTTGTAAGAAAAAAACTAGTTTATACTTATATGGTGTTGCCATTCGGGAAATTATCTTTCATATATTTTTTTTTACTTGTGACCACATTGTTCTGAACCAATTTCTATGAATAATATATTATAATTATTTTAATGAATAAATATATAATGAATGGGATCAATTGAAAAGAGATTGTTTAACTATAATATTTGAAATTTAAATTAAAAGCATGCAATAAAGATATAAAAAATGACCAAATAATTGCACACCTTCGTAGATGCAGAATGCATGAGTATAAGGGCAGTGTTCATAACTTCATTTAACAGTTACCGACATTCTTCCAAAATAAATTACTTTTCATTTCATTATCCTATTTTAAGTTGACTGCACTATGAAGGAGCACTAAATACATTTTCATACATACATACATACATATCTGTCACGCCTGTCTCCCATTAGGGTAGGCAGGTGCAATGAAATGCCAAATGCTTCGATTCAAACAAACTTGTTTCGCTTCTTCCACATTCATCAATCTTTTCATACATGCTCGCTTTCATACATTTTCACTTCATGAATTATATGTATAAATTTAATATTTATATTTTCAGATTAACAAAGTCACCTTTGCCCCACTAGTGGTGTCCACGCTATTCATTTTACTTACGTCGTTGCTTGCCCACTGTGCGCGACGCCTGGTGCAAAAGTCTATAAATGAACCATTTGTGAGGTTACTATTTGAGGAAGCCATAGCCGCTGCTGAACTATGTGGCTGCTGTTTCGAGCTTATTGTTGGTAAGTCATTTATAATTTGTTTTTTTTTTCTGTGCGTGTTGCCAGTGTTACTTATAATATAATGCCATAGTGTAATAAAGAGTCTTAACCGTGTCATGCATGCAATAAAGGAGAGAAAGAAAGAGAGAGATAGATTTCACAAATAAACAACAAAAAACGTTTAACAATAAACAAAGATAAATAAAAATGAAGAGAAATCGTGTACACGATAGAATTACCAGTATCACAAACATTGATATTATATCACAGTGTAAGAAAGAACCAGTGATCCAATACCTGTTGATAAGTCCCGAATTGACTATATATTGAATATGACAATTCGAGATGTATTACACTGTCTAGATGTGTTCGTAAGTTCATAAAAGTTCGTTCTGAAATATTATAATAATAAGAAAGATTTCTTCATTGCTAGTTCAATGATAACGTATACATAATTATGTTAGTAAGTTGCTTAGTAAGCTATAGAGAAGAGCTATGCCAACATATTTGTTACGTGATAGAATCTGAAACGACGATACACGAAAAAGATCAATCAACATGAAGGATTTGTTAGTTGAAGTAGTATTAGGACGAATTGATGATCCATTGATGTTAAATGAATGAATTGATGATAAAGTTCTGTAATCATGAGCAAACGATCATGATTATTAGATACATTTCTTGCCCCAACAGCTACCGTCTTTTTCTTTTCTTCTCTGTCCAAAGGTTCTCAAAGAGATTGTTTTAGCGATAAAACTGCTTTTTGCACTTCATAAGTATTAAAACATCAATGCTTTGATGATTTTTCTGCTTATATTTCAATTATTTGTGATCTGAATAATGACTTTAATTCCTTTATTTAATTACATATGGATTTGTCTATTGGTTTTAAGAACGACCGTTTCTCTTACGTTAATGCTTCTTAGGAATGTATTTCATGGTTATCCACCACCTGACTATAGTATGAAGGAAGAAAAAAGGGAGGGAGATGTTGGAAATGAGTAAGGGAAGATGGTACACGGAAAAAAGAGATGAAGGATTTTTTACCAAAAAGAAAAAGAGAGACACTGCATTTCTGCAGGGGATAAAACTGCAGCAGTTTGGGAGGTCGGGGTCGTATATTCATGTGCCCTTACTCTAAATCATTGGAGGACAATACCCCTGACAGCTACATCCCACTAGATAGAGGAATTATTTTCTCCGTACAAGCAATTTAACATTATGATTTGTCTGAATAAACGTTACCAAAACAGAACCATTTTAAATGTTGAATTAAACTGGTTTCCTGTAAGCGAGCTTTATAGAAAATTGAGATTCTGAAATTATCTGTTGCAATTGAATTTTAACTTTATTCCAATACATAATAGGGAACAAAATGTAATGACTGTGCCATAGAGTTGAATTTGCACGTTGACGAATAGCGTTGTTGACATGTGACAGTCACATCTGTGCGCGTTAAACAACGTAGCTAATGCTTGTTTTAAACAGAATTACCAGCTTTAGCGTATGACTTAAAAATCTTCTACACCATTCACATATGTATTTATAAAAAGAAACTAAATAAATATGCTCACGACTTAAATCTCTTATAGTATTTTTTTATTGGTATGAAAAGGTAATTGTAGTTTCACTTACTTTTTTGGTATACGCGAGACAAAAGAGCATGAATGAATTTGTGGATGAATTTCAAGCGTGAATTTACTGGGTACAGAGGAATAACATCTGAGTCCTCAGGAATGGCAACGCATGGGGGGTATCATGGGCGAAACAGTATACTCTGTTATGTCCATGGTACTGCTCATGTCTATATGCGACGGTTACCACTTTCCATCAGGTGTGCCGTCAGCTTGTTTGCCATTCTAAATTGCATAAAAAAAATGTTGCTAGGCAAAGATAAATCCAAGTGATTTGACTTGACATTTTTTTTGACGAATTCATAGAAATTAACTATGGTGGTATTCGATAGGACGAATAGGGTATAGTACTAATAATGGGGTTATTAGACTTTATTCCTAAAGATCCCTTTCCCAGAAGTATATATCGACTGTAACTGTTATGAGTAATCTAACACTCAACGTGACATATTTGCCCATATTTTGTCGAGCATATTAGAATGTAATGAAGCATGAGGATAGCTTCCCGCTATTGCTCTAATTAACCTATTTTTATTATTTTTTTAATCAACCTTTAATTTAAAAATGCATGATGCGTGCATGCGTTTTAATGATTGTTAAGAATGCTATATTTGAAGTTTCTATATTTCTATGTAATGTAATAATGTATATGATCATTGGTTAGAAACATTTTTCACTTCATTTCATTGCAATAGAATCACATACATATACGATATAAAAAATTTAAATTAAAAAAAATTTTGTACAATAGAAATGAGACAAAGTCGATTAGGACAAAATTAAAATGGAAATAACAAGGTAATTATATAGCCTATTGACTGTGAAAACAGTTAATAATATCAACGTAGAATTCACGTAATATAATAAAAAAAATACAAGGGAAAAGGATTTACGTTACTTATAAATAAAATGTAGTGAAATTGAAAACTTCTCTCCTTTTTTAAGCAGAAAATGCAACCGCCGAAGCTTTTCTGTCCAGTGTGTTTTACTTTCTGCCCTAATCCTTGCGTGTATATAGTTATTGATATTGATTTATAAGGCCTCTGGGACAAGTATCGGATTAGGTTTCACGAGTCCGATACTATCAGCCGAAGCCGAGATGAACGCTGGCGAGCTCTGAATCACTGCTCACTTTTGCTGTGGTTTTGAAACCAGTCAGTGACAATCTTTTACTTTATTATATGCTAAGTACTTATTATTACTAATTAATCTTTATAGAATTTTAAAGATTTTTGAATGGATCTAACATTTAGTTATTGTTAACCCACTAAATTGAAATTGAATTATATTTTGAATTATAAATTATATTTTGAAATTGTTTATTGACCTTTCTCTCTCATGAATGCTCAAGTACTGGAATGAACTCCCTGTACTACTAATATTATACTGATACTACAATATTGGGGTTTTCAAAAAAGAGGTAAAAAGGTCGTGACGTCTTCAGGGTCCGCAATACGCGCGTAATGTCTCTGAACTGTATCGCTGTAACTGCTTACAATCAGGTGGGCTGCATGCCTCTTTGCCACCGTAGTGCTGTAAAAAAAAATAAGGTTTAGGCCCATGTACGTTTCTTATTAATTTTGTCGATTCAATGTGCTCAGAAACAATGGGCCTATCGATACAATATCGAATATTACACACTAGATCCGTGATTCGCGTTCCTTTATACATTGACCGCGGAACGCCTCTGCGCCTATTGTTCAGTATAACGCCACAATCGATGAATGCTTCTAACTACCAATGAACGATAATATCTTGGGTATGTTGCATCGACTGCACTAACTGAGTATGCGCTCATCTAGTTTCTTCACTCTTCTCTTCTCTCACTATGAGCATATTTATTTATTTAACTTAACAATACACAATGAAAATTAGAAAATTCAATTGAAATGTAGCAGAAAAAACTAAATAAAACAAGTTTTAGTAAAAAAGGTACTCTATTGTTACATTCACTAATTGTCTTGCTTATTCCTTATATTGTATAACGCAAATAAATTGTACTCATCTATCCATTCATTCATTCATACAAAAGGTGGTCTTATCACTAGGACAATCTTTTACAGATTTTTTTTATACGTATAAAATACAAAACTTATATAATACAAAAATATCCTGTATTACACTAAACCTATATGACATAAATTTTTTTTTATATAATTTAATGATAAACAAATTGACTGTGTTTTTTTTTATGCAACTTAGAATGGCAAACAAGCTGACGGCCCACCTGATGGAAAGTGGTAACCGTTGCCTATAGACATGAGCAGTACCATGGACATAACAGAGTATACTGTTTCGCCCATGATACCCCCCCATGCGTTGCCATTCCTGAGGACTCAAGTGTTATTATTCTGTACCCAGTAAATTCACGTTGATGGAAAGTGATGTTCAATGTTTATAGACGTGAATACCATATGGATTCCACATTATATATTGTGGCACACATTGTAATTCTTAAGTGTTGCTATTTCTGAACACTAAGGTGTTATTATAGCACATTTTAGCAGCAAATTTCATTCATTCATTCATGTCTCCATACCTTATTATTTCATTACCACTCTTAGAACCAAAACACATTAATGTAACCATTGCTACTTCACTGCAGGTCACAACACTAGTCGGACAACACTAGACAGAGGATATGAACGAATTTCGTTCAAAGTTTCCCTTTCTTTATAACTAAAAGTGGTTCTCAAATTGCAAAAGATTTCAAATTAATATCAATTGTTTGTGTTTCAGTTGCAGACAATTTCGGCGTGGGCACGTACGCGATCTTCTTATTCGCTCTAACAATATGGTGGTCACTCAATTGGGGTGACGCTACTGCCTGCCCCTACACACATATTGAGGATGTTATTGAAGGTACAACTCCCTGTATATTTTAATATGTTTTAAATATACTATCGGGATTAAACGCAATGAATCCACGTCGAAACGTCGGCAATAAAGAAGTAAGTATGTTGGTACTGTTTACTTGAAAAGGATTTTTCATCGCGTTAAGTTCCGATAGTGTATTTAAATTATTTGCAAATAACAACAAGTATAAAATTAACAATTTAAATATGGTTATAGAATTAAAAAAAAAAACAGTGTATTATAATTTTTCAAATAACTTCAAAATCAAGGAGGTTCTTAAGGTTTGTATTCTTTTTTTGTTTATTACCTCATTTCTAAACCGATTTGGATTTTTTTTATTTAAAAGGGTTTATTTATAGATTGGTTACATAGAAATTTTAATAAAACCAGTTTAATAGTTTACTTTTTAAATTAAATTTACTAGTTTTGCCACAATTGCAGTTGACTTCTGTTTATGGTACACAGTCTTAATTATTATTATAAGTGTGTATAGATTATAAGATGTGCGCCATCTATCGGTAGAAACGTTTCAGTTGTCGCATGCACGAAATAGTATCTATAAGAAGCCGTACGTTATCGTTTCATTCTCCTCATGGTTGCAAAAACTATAATCAATCTTTGGGTTATGCAGAAATAGTCAGTGATGGATAGGTATCTTATTTATTTATTTTATTTAAATAACTTTATTGTCCAAAATAAAATAAAGCACAAAAGGCGAACTTAATGTATCAAATATATATTACTTATATATTAGATACATTGGTCGTGTGGTCTCGGTATAGAATAGGCCACCCCTTCCTTTCCCGTGGATGTCGTAAAACGTGACTAAGGGAATTTAATGATCGAGGGATTAGAAGCAGAGTTTCTCTTGAAATATCACTAAGGTTTAACTGCGGTTGTCAACCCGCCTGATAAGCGTGGCAACTACTGGCAAAAGTCTTCAATAGGGGGAGGACTATGTTCAGCTGTGAACAAGTAACTGTCGATATAGTGTGGATACATAGAAAACATTCTTTGTATTCTGTTTCACGCGGACAAAGCCGCGGGATTTAGCTAATTATGTACATGGTAGCAATTATAATTTTCCAAGACATTTAAATTTGATCCTAATTATAGCAATATGTATATTTGAGATCTTTCCGAATTAACCAGGGTAAATGTTCTGGCAAATAGAATTTTTAATGTAAAACAATATTCGAGGAAGGGCGCCTTCGTTGTAACGTCTAATTCAAGAATGGAGGGGTTAATATAGAAATAATGTGTTTAATTAGGTGGAGATAAGCAAGACGAGGTAATTTTGTAACTCCTGGATGAAAGGATTAAAATATTTTTTAATTAATGTTGTGAGTGGAGCTGGTTTTGTTACCTATTTTATATCTCGGTCACGCAAATGAAGTCACGGGTAAAAGCTAGTAATATTATAAAGAGGAATGATATGATTTTTTGTTCGTTTGTTTGTAATTGATGATTTTAAAAAGTACTCAATCAACTTTAACATTTTTTTCACCTATTAGAAAGCTATATTATTAGTAAGTATCATAGGTAATATTTTTTTTTAAATTTTTAATTTCCTACGAAAATTACAATAATGTAACCCCAAGTATATAAAAAAAAACTATTGTGGCTAATATACTCATAAAATACTAATTTGTCTTTCTATCTACTCATATCTGCCTGTGCAAAACCCGGTCAGATGACTAGTGTATTATTTTAGACATGGCACGGAGAAAAGAATTGAGGAAAAAGGAGTAAGTTTAGGTTGTTGATAAAAAAGATAAGGCTAAGAGGAGTTGCGGAGGGGAAACTGGCCAGGAATTATAGTGGCTCGAGACGCCGAGATCACATACATACCCGTGTACCCTTACTCTAAAATCGGACTGATTTCTAAAAGAGAACACCAATGAGATAATTAAAAATATATATAGATTAAAAATAAAGCAAACAAGAAATTGTGATGACTGTTTCATTTTTAAACAACTAAATGCTATAAAAAGATTTGCTTAGATTGTAACTGTGCCAAATATAAAAATAAAGATATACTATTTGTTTTTACAGTGTTAAAATTAACAAGTCTTGTTTTTTATATCGTCAAAACAATACAAGTATTTCTTTATTATTATTATCGAGAGAGGGCCTCTTTCAACAAAAAAAAAAAAAAATTATGATACTGCGACCTTTTCATGATATTTTGTGCTTACTCTTTTTTTTTTAAAATTAGGATTTTTTTTATACAACTTAGAATGGCGAACAAGCTGACGGCCCACCTGATGGAAAGTGATAACCGTCGCCTATAGACATAAGCAGTACCATGGATATAACGGAGTATACTGTTTCGCCCATTATACCCCCCATGTGTTGCCATTCCTGAGGACTCAGGTGTTATTCCTCTGTACCCTGCAAATTCACGCCATATCCCACCCTTCAAATCGAAACATAGCCATACAAACACAACTGCTTCACGGTTGAAACACGGATAGGACAGAGGTACCCAAGCAATCGACTTTTGTACAAAGTCTCCCTCAGGAAAAATGAAAGATTGTGCGACCTTTCCATAATCTTTTGTGCTCACCTTTTTTTTTAATTCTCTGCTATACTCTCTCAACAGTAGGATTTTAAGATGTTATTTGTAGCAATGTTTTTTCTCATCTCTTATAAAAGTATTCAGAATAGTGAGTCGATTAGAAAAAAATAAACTTCCTAAAGGAAAAGAAACATTTGCATTGAGAACGATTTAACTTTTTCTTGACAATCTTGAAATGTTTTAAAGTGTTAAGTGTAGATATTAATCTGAATGCTTAAGTTGCAAACTTAGTCGAAGACTTGAGTTTCTGCTAAGTATTTATTTTTTAGCGACTCTTGAAACGAGTTCTCAATTCGTATTTAGTATTTTTTTAATCTATCTACATTACAAACAGAAAATAGAGTCTTTCCTTTTTATAATCCAATAATATATATCTACTAGCTGACTCCGTAAACGTTGTTTTACCTCTTATTGCGAAATATAAAAATCGCAATTAAAATACAGGAGTTGATCGTAAAACGATGAAAATTTAGAGTTGTATGTATTTTTCAATGCTAAGTCATAATAAAATAAAAATGGAAAAATTTATAAAAAAAATATAAAAAAAAATATTTTGGGAAGGATCACCCTTATCATTGGCGGGTAAGAAAAATAGATGTTGGTCGATTCTCAGACCTACCCAATATGCGCACAAAATTTCATAAAAATCAGTAAAGCCGTTTCGGAGGAGTTTGGTAACAAACACCGTGACACGAGAATTTTAGATATAAGATAAAAACCTAACTTTTAACGAATATTTAGTTAAAATAGGTTTTTATAGACTCAACAAAGATAATTGACATGATGTTCGAAACAAAATTGTTGTATCGAATTTATGAATCTCTTTAATTAAGTAATATTATAAACGTAAAGTACACCTACCCAGTCTATGTTTACTGTATACTTTCCGTGTCAATTAGGAGTTTTCTTGCTAATTAATTCCTTTATGAACGGCAGCGTCCCGATCTTCTATCAAATTACGTTGTTTTTCATTATTAGATATAATAAGCTCAGGAAGTCGCGACTTCATTGCCGAAGGGCTACTGGGAAGTGACTATAAATCATAAACAATATTAAACTTAAAAGAAAAACTAACAAATGTTAATAATATGAAGTTATTTCACTCACATCTGTTAGCATTTTTAATACTACTATACTACTATATACTTGCATGTAGACATGTCTAGTCTATTCTAATACATTCAGTCATAACTTAGGAAAGTATGTCTTTTGGCAGTTTTCTTCTTCTTTTGAGTCCTCAGGAATGGCAACGCATGGGGGGTATCATGGGCGAAACAGTATACTCTGTTATGTCCGTGGTACTGCTCATGTCTATAGGCGACGGTTACCACTTTCCATCAGGTGGGCCGCCAGCTTGTTCGCCATTCTAAGTTGTATAAAAAAAAAAACCTTTTACTACTACTTATAACAATATTTCTATGAGACCGATCAGTAACTAGGTCCTTTCATATAAAAAAGAATTTTCCAAATTAAAATTAGATCTGATGGAGTTATGAGGTAACAAATATAAAAAAAAATACAATCGAATTGAAACTCTCCTTCTTTTGGAAGTCGGTCCAAAATGCAATGATAACCTCCAATTATTTAAGGTTTTACACAACGTAAATTACGAGTGACTTAAAACGTAACAAAATTATATGATGTTTTCATGTTAAGACTTATATACGGGTGTAAATCTTATCAAATGCAAAAATGAATGATTAAAATCGGATTACAATTGAGAAAATATATTTTATCAAGTTTTAAATTAGTTAATAATTATTGGAATATATTTTTTCATATTTTAGTGATATTTCTATATCAATCTGCAAATATTTAGTAAATTGTAAATTAAAAAAGAAATATAAATATGTTAACAAGAATTTTTACTTTTAATCAGGGAAAGGCGACATACGTAAGGCTTTTTTGAAGACCTGGGCGGAACTCTTGGGTGGGTTGCTCGTGTTCAAATATGTGCAGACATACTGGGCCTTGGAGATTTCGGAGACGCACAAGGACAAGGCATTTGAGGAATGCAGAGCTGATTTGCAGGTAAGATTATCTTTTCCTTCGTGTGTGTGATTGATTTGTTTTCTGATTTTGAGTTGGAAAAACACCTATTAAATAACGTATTCTATATTTAAATTTAATATTAGTATCTTTTTTTATTTCTATTTGTATATTTATAAGGCTGTCGTTTCGAAACCTATCGCTTGTATAAATTCAAAAGAAGCAAAATTTTCTAAAAAAATGTATAAGAAATTTTAAATAATATAATATTTGTAATTTTTATTTATTTATTTATTTAGTACAAGATATACGGATTTTACATACGGAACAAAGTATAAGCTTTACGGCTTTACTGCGTATTGTTATCATGGACATTTCTATTATAAGTAAAAATATAAAATGTTAAAAAATATAATAAGTACCATTTGAAGTAAATCTTTTCTTACTTTACATATAAAAAATTAAAACATAAAATTATTCCATGTTTTTCATCTTCTTACTAATACAAATTAAATTTACTTTTTAAAATTAAAATAGATCGTGATAAATGTTAGAAAATCTTTATTTAAAATAGCAAGTGGTGAAAACCATTATAAAAATGATCTTATTGATTAACATTAAAGGTCATACTTTTTTTTGCATGTGCTCTAACAGAATTATGTGACTTCTTTAAATCGTTACACTTTCTGATGTTTGAGGTGTGATTTTTTGCAAGCCATGTGTAAATGACTTGTACAAATTATTCTATGCACTGGAAATCAAATCTGTGGAACAATAATTCCAGATGTGATGAGACAGTGCAATATTACGTCCTTTCCAGACAAGGCTGCATTTCCATGAATGCACGTTCTAGAGTCCGTTAGGGCACATGTTTTTTGCCTAATATTAAATTCCTGTGTTACAATTGCAACAGTTGAATTTCTTGCCCGTTCTTCTCAGCTGAAATTGAATTCTGAATGGGCTGGAATAAAAATATTTTAATGTAATAACTATCGTTTACATATAATTAGATCAAGACAGCTCGACTAGTTTAGAGATCAATTCGTGATCTTTAATTATGAGCGGTACTGACGCGAGCGCGAGCCTAACTTCTCGATCTAATTACACGTAACCTGTAGTTATTATATTAAAATATAATGTGTGTTTATGAAACTTTTAATAATAAAAAAATATTAATTATTTATTTATTAATAAATTTCAGGTGCCTGTCATATACGGGGCCGTTGTGGAAGGTGTGGCGACATGCCTCTGTCGATTGGCTTCCAAGTCGCTCGGAGATCTTAATCCTCGGTTCGCGACTGCCATTGACTCCTTCATTGGAACCTCCCTGGTCGTAGCTGGTTAGTTTATTTATTTATTTATTTATTTAACACTTTACTGAACCAATATTACAGGACTTGTTAAAGAATTTCCAATTACAAGGTTTATCAGTTGATTCGAGAATTTAATAACATTTTAACATTTATTATTTTATTTTCAAAAAAGGGGGACACTTCTTTTTAGAGAATTCATAAATATATCGGTTGAAAAGTAAATTTTCTCTTAATTCAATACATTATTTTTTATTAAGAAATAAGTGAGGTGCATGCTTTTATTTTTATTATTTCAAAACTTGCTTTTTTCTTTAAATTTTTCTTACATAATGCTATATTCATCAATCTGGCTTCGATTTTAATATAAATAATTTATATTCTAGGCTTTTGTGATTAAGTTCTTTTTGAATTTAAATTTTATTTATATGAATGCTACTGTAAAATAATATTTTAATAATGCTTCTACGAACGTGATATAAAAATACGTCAAAAAACTACATTAATTACATACGAGTATATCCACAGACTTCGGGATATAATTTATTGGCAAATAATGAAATCAATAAATTTGATTCTACAGAAAGTTTATTATATTGATTGAGTGGCCATAAAATTTGATTTGTTTTATTAAATAAAAAAAAAAAAACTAATTTAAAATTTTACCATATATAAAGAACATTAAAGAATATTAATACACTACCGACAAGAAAAATAGATCTTCACGGTGCGCAAAACAGGTGAAAAAAGTTTTCTTTTGTTTATCAACGAATATAAATTGAATATTAACATTTTTATTAGGGGCCGGGTGATGTATACTAATCCATCTTAGGAAAAAAACTTAAAAAAATTAGCCATTTAATTATTCCCGAAATATTCATATTGGTAGTAGCCAATTTACTGACGTGAATTTAATGGGTACAGAGGAATAACACCTGAGTCCTCAGGAATGGCAACGCATGGGGGGTATCATGGGCGAAACAGTATACTCTGTTATATCCATGGTACTGCTCATGTCTATAGGCGACGGTTGCCACTTTCCACCAGGTGGACCGTCAGCTTGTTTGCCATTCTAAGTTGTATAAAAATATACATAAATTATTTTATAATTAAAAAAATATCTAAATTCTGATTTATAAAATAACTTAGGTCTTTTATAATTGATACGAAATAATGAAAAAAAAAAAACCGCGGGTATTTACAGCAAATCTCTATTAATATCATTCATTTAAAGTTGTAAGTTATATATTTATATAGAGTTATAATAGAGTGTATCTAAATAAATAAAAAAAAAATACCATTATAAAACGAATAGTTAGACACAGAATAGACAATTGATTTATACTTTTCGTATATCTACGCCCATGGGTTTTCGATTTTATATATTTTTTTCGTTAAAATAAATTTATTATATGGTCACCTTTTTTTAATCTACGTACACAGTTCTCTTCAGATATTTGTGTTAATAAACAACATATATATACATATGTGTATTAATTAATTATATATTTTCATATATTGATATAACATTGTCTAACATCTTAATAATTGATTGATCGTGCCCGATGCTTTAGTCATATTTCATTGGAACTATATTATTAACATTCTGCCATATCCCAAGTGATATAGTATGACTTATTAGAACTTATAGCTAGAAATCAAGATGACTTTAGAATACATGTCAAATTGGTTTCGAAGCTGTATATATTATATAAATTTAACAGTATTATTTGTATTTGGTTTTGTATTAATAATAATACATATTAAAAAAATAGAAGCTTAATTAAGTACTTTTTAAACGGTGATTATAAATCTTAATGTATGTATTATTTATATTTGTCAATTCTAATTTGAATTATGCTGTTATAGTAAATTAAATATTTAATTTACATACGTAAGGTATTTAGAAAGCATTTTAGTCATATGTTTTATTAATTGCCAATTTATTGACATTTGCCAAACATGTTCAAATATTCTTTTGAATTTTGTTCTATGATTTCGTTTAAATTTAGAACAATTTGAAGTCAATACTATGGTATTTTGATTCTTGGATTTCATTCTATTAATGCTGGTTGCTTTCAATTTTACCGTTCCACATTTTTTGCCGTTCTGGGAGCATATTATGAGCATTTAAAACTTGACAGTTTGACGAACATTTTATGATTGGACTTGCCATTACTACATAAGTAATGGGAAATTGTAAAGGAAATATTATTAAATCCCTTTCAGACCCGAACGTTACGGGCGTGAGTTGTAACTTTAAAAAATTCTAAAACCGCGCGCAATTCATTTTTACGCACGAAGCTGAAATAACATGATAGTGAGATTCTAAACCAGCCAATAAGAAATCATTTTAGCGGTTAGGTGGTGCAATAGTCTCGTGCGTGCCGGCGAGATGGGTTGGCTCCAAAACACGAAAATATATTTAATCTGAAAGAAAAAAAAATCTTGGGTCTGAAAGGGCTATGGTTGACTGGGAGAGAATGCTTTTAGTATTAAATCTGCCATGTACACATATATGTACTAATAATTAAATAAATAAACATACATTTGTCAAGTTTTTAAGTTTGTAATAAACTCCCTGATCGGTTTCCCGGCTTGCGCCGGGTGGCATGCTGTTAATAGTGTGTCTCCAGCTTACCATTCACTGTTGCAGGGGTCCTCACTAGGCACACGGTATTCGTCTACCGCTATCAGGACAATAGTGCCAATGCGGACCTAAGCGTGTCCATCTTTTGCAAAATCCATTTAGGAAAAGGTACATCGTTGTAAAGTGTACACTAACTGGTCGTTCAATCGCATTAAAAGCATGAATATTCACTGCATTTATTATTAGTTGGTCGTGGCTTATGAAACTAGAAAGGCCAATTAGTACAAATTGGTTCCGCATTGACACTATGATCTGTTTCAATGGAGTTTAATGAAAATGTAAACAAACTAATCCGATTATATGATAACTAACTAATATGATCCGGTGATAAGGACCAATTATAGATACAAATTATTGATTAATTGATCGAATGTTTCGATGTTTCATTAATTTCATTTAGAGACTGTTTGTGTGGTAATTTTAATAATACTTGGTTATTTTTATTACGCTATTGAAACAGACAACATTGCTGAACACAGGTCTCTCCTATAAAGAGGAAAAAAGATTATATTACCGTGGTGTAAAGTCCAATTTTGACTTTTTATTCAAATTGTTTAAAAATTTATTCGTATATTGTGTGAACATTTTAAAGTTCTTATTGAGTATAATATTTTCTTAAATAACTTTTAATAAAGTACAGACAGCACTTTAACTACGTTTAGTTTTATGTCAACGCTGTTCGAGTTATTGTCAAAAGTGGTCTTGACACTAAATTGTTTTTACTGTATTGCTATACAAGCATGCGCATAATAGCAAGTAATGAATTGTGTTATAAATTTATATACAGGTTTAAACTTAATGGTGTACGTATATCAAAGCGAAAGCCAGTGATAATAACTAAGAAACTTAAACACTTTCTCCAAAAGCAGAATTAATGTCTTAAAATGTTTTTTGAACTTTTCATAATGTAAATCATGTCACAGGTTTGTATATAATAAACAATTAATAATAAGCACATTTTTTTTATAATAAATTTTACTAAATATATTCTTTGTATAGTAAACAAAATAACGATAATTTACAACGATTGTCATTAAAATCGCTGTATAAATTTCCATTGTCATCATTTCGCATCATTTTTAACACCTCGTTTCATACGTAGCAATTCCGTGATGTTAATGCATTTTAAATTGTCATTTTATACATAAGAATGGTAGGAATAACACTATTGTGATTGAAAAATATGTTATTAAACATGCACTTTACAATAGGTAAAATTTTGCTCTATAAAAAGCCAATGGCAATGTTATTTATCAAAATATTATTCAAATTGCAGTATTATATTAATATATAAATTCAAAAAATTGAATTTATATATTATATATTAATATATAAATTCAATTTGTTAGACCAATGCACCGCTATTTACTCCTCTCTGTTTAGCGTAACGGTTGACTGGTAGAGAATGCCATCAGGTACTAAGTCTGCTCTGTAGACATATTTTAATGTGTGCAAAAATATAAATAAATAAATAAAATATAACAGTTTAATTATTTATAATAGATAGATAGACAGATGGATACTCTTTATTGTTTCCTCCAAAAGATTACAATAGTAAACTTATTATAATACAAACAGTTATATTTTATCACATTATTATCATTCAAGGAAATAATAAAATAGTAAAAAAAACTATTCAGGTATAAGTACCGAGGGATAATTAGATTTACCATGATCGTATGACTATGTATTGTCTGATAAAGGAGTTAAGAGTTTCCGGTATCTGCGTATATGCATAATATGAATTAATTGTGAAAGTGGACGAATCAAGAGATATTATGTATAGAGGGAGACTTTGTACAAAAGTCGATTGCTTGGGTACCTCTGTCCCAATCGTGTTTCTACCGTGAAGCAGCTGTGTTTGTATGGCTGTGTTTCGGTTTGAAGGGTGGGATATGGCGTGAATTTACTGGGTACACAGGAATAACACCTGAGTCCTCAGGAATGGCAACGCATGGGGGGGTATCATGAGCGAAACAGTATACTCTGTTATGTCCATGGTACTGCTCATGTCTATAGGCGACGGTTACCACTTTCCATCAGGTGGGCCGTCAGCTTGTTTGCCATTCTAAGTTGTATAAAAAAAAGATAGACGATTTTGTGCATTGTGTGTTCTATGCTTACTAAGACTCTGGCATAAAAATAAATAGATACACTGTTCAAAATTATAACTTCCTAAACTGTTGCTACATTAGTAAGTAGTAGAACTCTACAATCAGAGGCTGACACTCACCTAACTACTACTTTTTGTATTTTTTCACCTGATAGTAAGTAAAGTGTTAGGTGGGTATCGGCCTCTGATTGTTTATAGGCTTTATTTGTCATTCTTTTGAGAGTTTATATGCCGCAATCGTCACGCCTATATATCGACGATCTATATATATTTAGTACATATTTTGAAATATTAATAAAGTCTTTTTTTTTCAGCATTCGACTATTCTGGTGGCTACTTCAACCCGGTGCTAGCGACGTCTCTGAAAGCAGGCTGCGAGGGCCACACTCTTCTAGAACATGCCGTGGTATACTGGATAGGTGCCTGTGCTGGATCCATACTGTCTGTTTATATGTACAAAATACCGGCCATCCAGCGGTACGTCAGAGGAACGACGGCAGTGAACGGCGACAGTATCTGGGCGGATAAAGAAGATTAAATCTTCCGTCCTGCTTAATAAATATTTTCTCTCGTAATATTTCTATGAATGATTATTTTATGAACATTTCGAAATAACGTGTGTGTCGCAATGAGACGCGAATATATCGAATGGATTTAATTTTTTAATTATAACACTTAGATCATTAATATCTAGATGAGCTCCGATGTCTCACTATCTGGATATCTCATTAGAAATGCTCCGATAAAAACGGCATATCTGTTTTAAATGGCGCGCTTTTCGCAAGGTATAAAATTATAATAATTGGTGGGTTTTGTTACATAAATTGTCCTTTTATTTAGTTTTATTATATTGGCGATACTTTTGAATTTTCATTCAATACGAAAATCAATGCGTCAGTTAATAATTGGGCGATTATTTTTTGATACCTTATTATACTCGGTGCTCCATCTAGATGTGTGTGATCTAAGTCACTATGCTAATATTGTGATGTCTTCTAGTCAATTTCAGACACTGTACAAAATGATAATTATATGAACTTTATCTAAGATTTAATTACTATATCCATGCCAATTTTGTGTTTATATCTGATATTGGTTCATCCATTCAAAAATAGAATGCAAAAAAAAAGAACTTTTGTTACCAGCACAATACAGAGTAATATCGAAATAATTCGAGTTTATTTATCGGAGTGTTTTATTAGTGAAACGGAACGTTTTTACACCAGAAACATTTTTTTTTACACAATTTAGAATGGCAAAACAAGAAACTTACAAAAAAGAGAAAATATGATAAAAATTTTTGACTCTCCAAACTAACGCGTCGCGTCTAGATGTAAAGTTAGTATGAGAAGATCTTAAACATTTTGTCACTTTTCGGTTCATGTTATTTTGGAAGAAATATTAAAATTTTATCCTTACAACTACTAATGATTTAAATTCCTGGAAAAAGTAGGTAACAAAAGTTTTTTTTTTATACGATTCCTGCTAAGTTTCTATGAAATTACAGCTACGTCGCTGTTCACCTTAATTAATACAATTTTCTACATGTTTCCTCTGAACTGAACCTCTGTTTTGTGCCTTTCGTGTCTTCCAAAAATATAATAAGTGCTACGTTCTTCAGTTGTAAATAAATGAACCATTTTAATTATTTAATTGGTTGTTTTATTTAATAAGTAGTGGCCCGTCCCGTCTTCGCACGGGTGGACATTTTTACATTTTAAAAAGTGGCCATTAAGGCTAACACACGCGACGGAAGCTTAAAAATGGAGTAACTTCTCCCGTTTTCCCAACATTTCCCTTTACTGCTCTGCTCCTATTGATCGTAGCGTGATGTTAAGTATATTATAACCTGGCCAGGAGTATGAAGAATAATTGTACCAAGTTTCGTTAAAATCCGTCAAGTAGTTTTTGTTTCTATAACGAACATACAAACAGGCAGTCAGACAAAAATTTTACTGATTGCGTTTTTGGCATCAGTATCGACGACTAATCACCGCCTGATGGTTATTTTGGAAATATATTTCATGTACAGAATTGACCTCTCTACAGATTTATTATAAGTATAGATTTTTTTGAATTGTTTAAATGAGTGAATGAATGAACGAATGAGCGAATGAATGAATGATATTTTTTTATTGTTCCCTTCAAAGAATAATACAGGTTAGAAAGATTAACAAATTACTTACTTTATAATGCATAAAAATATGTATTATAAAATAAGTAGCAAACTAATTACCCACTTGATAGGAAGTGGTGACAGTCACCAATACACATGAAGCACCGTGGATGACACAGTATATACTGTGACATCACGGCAGCAATTAAATATGCGTTGTTATTCTTAAAAACTATGATCTTATTCCGTAGCCTGTCATGTCCCTGCCTAGAAACCGGAGCATAGCCATTCAAGAACAAATATTTAGCGCCAAACACAAATGGGACAGAGGTACCATAGTGGAAGATTTTTGCACATTCGCCCATTGGTAAACAAAAATGTGTATGTGGCTTTAATTTAACATTTTCATTAGGAATAATGTAACTTCTAATAGGAAGGGGGTATAGATATAACAGAAGCAAAATTTAATGACAATTTGCAAAGTAATTATTTAACTTTAGATGTTGTAAACAAATTTAGTTGTATAAATGTAATTTCAGAACTTCTTGACAGTAACATATGACTTACATAGTGACATATATATTTGCTTTTAAACATCCGAAAGAGTTTTGTAGACAAATTTCAATAATAGGCTTTAAAGTTATTAATGTAGGCAGCTATCTAATATCTTTGCGCAATATATTAACTAGTTCTTACCTTCGACATCATACACGTGACCTTGTGATATATCGCTCAGTAAATATATCCCATATTATATACAATCTTGAAGCAGTTGTGTTTGCATGGCTGTGTTTCGGTTTGAAGGGTGGGATATGGCAGTGAATTTACAGGGTACAGAGGAATAATACCTGAGTCCTCAGGAATGGCAACGCACGGGGGGTATCATGGGCAAAACAGTATACTCTGTTATGTCCATGGTACTGCTCATGTCTATAGGCGACGATTACCACTTTTCATCAGGTGGGCCGTCAGCTTGTTTGCCATTCTAAGTTGAGAAAAAAAAATAAGTACTTAAGATGAATAAGGACATAGGTTACTATTTATCCTGTTGATGCTGGAAATTGTTCACATTTGGTAATGTTTGGATTCCATTTTTATATTGTTATATTATAATATATGACAACTACTTTTGGGTTAATCAAAATATTACTGTCGCGCGGACGAAGTCGCGGGTGGAAGATAGTCTATACTAATATCATAAAGAGGAAATATTTTATTGTTTGTTTGTAACTCGAAAAATACTCAAGTGACTTTAAAAATTAAAAAAATCTTTCACCTATAAAAGCTATATTATCAGAGAGTAATATAGGTTACATAATATTATTTTTGAAAATTCTATCTATCCGCGAAGCCAGATCAGATCACTGGATAGATAGATGAATAGATATATAATTTATTTGGATTACTTACAACACACAAATTACAACATACACAGATATACATAAAAAGTGAGATAATACACTAGTATTACATAAAAGTATAAAGTATTCTTCGTTTAATTTGATCACGTATAAACGCATTATATATAATACATATATAATATATATTGTCTAACGGCAGATTGGCGCAGTCTCATGTAACTTTTTTTATATCACAAACTCTGTAGGAAAAGTACTTTATTCAAATTTGAAGGTGATTCCGGAAACCTTTTATATCTGAATTCTTTAAGGTGATATTAAAATATTTTTTTCTTGACTTAATATATATTTTCTCGTATATGTGTATATTATATATGGTTTAAGGTATATATTTATTTTTCAAAATTATAAATATATGTTATACAAGTATGAATATCAATGAGATTATAGTTGTGTTTATATTTGAAGAATGGGATGGCAGTCAAATTACAGGGTACAGAGGCTCAGGAATGGCAACGCATGAGAGGTATTATGGATGACACAGTATACACTTATGTCACTGTTACTGTTTATGTCTATAGGTGACAGGATGGTTACCACTTCCCATTAGGTGAGTCGTCAGCTTGTTTGTCATTCTAAGTTGTATAAAATAAGAGAACTAAAAGTAATTATATTATCATTTTGTAGTTTTATATTATGTATTAAAAGTACCCGTAACCGGCGAGCGTGTATGAAAAGATTGATGAATGTGGAAGTAGCGAAAGAGGTTCGTTTGAATCGAAGCATTTGGCGTTCCATTGTTTCTGCCTACCCTAATGGGAGACAGGCGTGACAGATATGTATGTATCATGTTCATCTACAATGCTAGTATTAATTCAATACTATTATATATAATTTTTATAGTAGTGCTATATAAGTTTATATATAAAAACAATAAACTTAGATAGGTATATGAAACTAACACTCATAACAATGGCATTATGGCACACGTATGAAAGAAGGAAATTGTTGTTTTATATATTTTGTTTCTTTTGTAGCTTTTTTTGATTTTCGTTCTTTTATCTCTTTTTATTGTGTATGTTTGTATTGTTTTTGTGTGCTGTAAGTAATCCAAATAAAATATCTATCTATCCAACAAATTAAAATCGAATAAGTATTTCCTCTTTGGAATGAAATCTCTTGTTGCATACACTTGCATCGAGAAATTGCAATTAATTAAAAAATTAAATAAAAAAAAATTAAAAAAAACGAAAATTCTACTCGTGATAAAATTTATAATCGGTTTTGATCACGTGATAGTAAACCCAATCGGTTTTTTTTACATGACATAAAACGGTAAACACGCTGAAGGCCCATCTGTAATAAACCCAAGTGGTTATCGTCAACTATAGATATGAACAGTATCGTGGACATAACAGTATCCTGTGCCCTTACCTTATGTGATGATACCCTTCATGCTTGCCATTTCTAAAGATTAAGGTGTTATGCCTCTGTACTATGTAATTTTATTACAATGTCTCACCTTTCAAACTGAAACACAGCCATTGTAAACACAACTGATTCACAGCAGGAACAAATGGGACCGAGGTGTCAAAACAAAAGCCTTTTAAACAATGTTCCCCTCTGTTAAAAATAATCTAAATTGGTCCAAAAATAACGAAAATATTTATAAAATTTTTGTGTGTATGTTACATGTAATAAAATTTGAAGGGTGGGGTATGGCGTGAATTTACAGGGTACGGAGGAATAACACCTGAGTCTTCAGGAATGGCAACGCATGGGGGGTATCATGGGCGAAACAGTATACTCTGTTATGTCCATGGTACTGCTCATGTTTATAGGCGACGGTTACCACTTTCCATCAGGTGGGCCGTCAGCTTGTTTGCCATTCTATGTTGTATAAAAAAAAATTATTCACTTAAAACTCCAGTAGTTATAAAAAATAACCGCTTGCCTGCTATTCCAAATATTCTTAACAATATGAAAGTAGATACATTATGATGGATATCATTATTGACCTTCTAACATTATATACATCTTAAATTTTCTAAAAACCTAATATAAACGTTACACTTTCACGTGTGAACAATTTATTACTTTGAAGCTTGTATAAGAATATTTTTAATAACTAGAGATGTACCGACTACTGGCTGATTAGTCGAGAAAGCTGACTATCCGGCCATATTTATATTTGGCGTTTAGTCGGTGATAAGCATCGACGATAGTCGAGTTGTTACTTTATTTAATTTACAAGCAACCCCAACCGACTTTGCACACCCGTGCGAAGTCGGAAGTGTAGAAGGTCTATGTTCAGCAGTGAACAGATAACGGTTATATACTGATCGTTATAAAAAGTAGCCTATGTCCTTTTGCATCCCATATAGTAAGTGTATACCAACTATTTCATAGTATTTCATAGTGATGGGTACTCGTACAGCTGATGATGCGCTAGGAGGTAATAAACAAACAAACTCACTTTCTCAGTTATAATATTTGTAAAGAGGCAAGAATTTTAGAATCACAATTTTAATCGATTCTGGGCGAACATAGTCGAAAGCAATGATCGCCTCAGCCGACTAGTCGGCCTTTTTCTAACCGATCAGCTAGTTGGTTAGTCGGTAAAATTGTTGTCGGTCGGTTCATCTCTATTAATGACTTATACTAAAGTATAAAAAAATGTTATTGAAAGACTACACGTAAATACCATTATCTTAATTATAGAGTTTCAAAGTATTTATATTTAAAACTAAAACAATGTTTACTTAATACTGTTTTCAATTTTACAAGTTTTATTTCCTTCCTTTAAATAATAGGAGATAGGAGTTTTTTAGGAATACGTGAAAGGAAAATTATTTCAGTAGAAATAATAAAATTAAATAACAAAAATAATGGTGCTATTAAATAAAATATTTCTATTCTATACGCCTTCATTTGCATTTGCGTTCATATTGGCTCCATCGAATTTAAGCAGTGTTCACAAACCAACGATGGATTATTTATTAAAAATTGTACAAATGAATATGTTTTATGAACAAAAAGTATTAATTATTGTAAGAAAATATCCTATTACAGAAAGAAGTGAAGATTTCTTTCCAAAAATAACTGAAGGTTTATTCACATATAATATTCCAAGAGTTGTCGTCGAGGACATTGAGCGTGTTAAATCATTTAAGAATATATATAAAAAAAGTCTTCTGTTTTTAATTTATATTGAAGATTGTGAAAAATTATCCGAATTTAATCTTACTATTCATGAACATGCTACATATATTTTAGTTTTAGATTATTACGAGAAACAGAATTGTGATACCATACTAAAAGGTATTGGAGGATTAATAAGTATATTTAATGTTATATTTATAGTGAAAGACAACAATGACAGAATACACAAAATTGTAACTTTCATACCACAAATTGACTCTAGTACATGTAAATTGGAAGGACACTCTGAACTAAAGGAAATAGATCGTAATGTTTTAAAAAGAAATGATGAATTTTTTCATATAATAATGCCGAAAAATCTCAACAAATGTCCTCTTAAAGTCGGTATGATACATAACCATCCTTTTTTTAATATGAACAATAGTACAAATTTAAAGTTCATGGACACTATCAAACAAACCAACAATGTAATAACAGGATGTGACTTAGAAATAGTAAAAATCTTTGCTGAATATTTAAATGCTACTTTACAACTTTATTACTTAGGTTTTCGTAAAGAATATGACAATGATGTAATTGTTAAGCCACTTTTGAACGAGGAATTGGATGTAATGGCCGGTGGATTATACAGAGCTTACGGTAACACTGTGGAATACTCAGGAATTTATGCGAGAGAAGCTCTTATTTGGATATATTATGTTGAAAGACTAGGTAAATCATGGCAAAGCTTTATGAGTAATTTAGATCTATTGTTCTTATTCTTCGTATTTTATTTGTATTACTGTTTGATTTGGTACACGATATGTATATTTGATAAAACAACAGTATCTTTAAAGTCTACATTTTTATATAGTTGGGGCTGCTTATTTGGATGTACGCCATTATCGAATCCGGTTACTACAAAAGAGAAGATAGTGAACGCATTTTATTTATTCATGTGTATACACTTTATAGTATACATGAATATACAATTATATTCAAATTTTACAATTGAAAAGCCTCCGAAATTATATAAAACTAACGATGAAATAATGAATTCAGGGAAAAAGTTTTCTGTATATAAAGACGCATTATCCTTCATAAGTGATGTGAAATTCAAATCTCTTATGAAAACAGCAGGCAATTGTGAAACAGCTAATGAGTGTTTGAGCTTAGCTTTTCAAAAAGAAGGTGCATCTGTTTATCTTGACGATGTGTTTATTGAATTACAAGTCAAAACTGCTGTGAATGATGAAGCAAAAATAATGAGATCTGCGGAAAACATATTAATACTTTATCATGAAATATCAATAAGGAAAAATAGTTATGTTGTAAACCATATACAATCTGCAATGGGGAGATTAAATGAAGCTGGTATTTTGGAGAAATTATTCAAGGAGGCAGTGGGCGTTTATTTTATTGATAAATCTAGAGAGTTAACAGAAAATTTGATGAGTAACAGTTATAGCTGTCAAGCGGGATGTAGCATAAGTTTGAATCAATTTGCTGGAGTCATTTATATTTGGTTGATAGGATGTTTCATATCTATAATACTTTTTATTATGGAAGTCACGATAAAAAGAGAACACAATAATGTTTGTAAAGATTTATAATGTCATTTTAAGCAAAGATTTTTGTCTTATAGGTAAAATCTAGCCGACTTAATCATACTTCTAGGTATATAAGGCAATGCACAACTTATTAAGTATAAAAAGATAAATTACATTTCAATTCAATTTCCATGAAGAAAGTAGTTCAACTTCATTAACATTATTCGTTAGATTTCAAATATTTAATTACAATTTATCTGTTATATCTTGTTTAGTTTAAAATAACGTAGAAACTTAAACTAACACTAGATAGTACCTGTTTAGAATAGAATAATGTTATATGTAATACGTACTCACATATAGTACATATTTAATACCTATCTATAGTATAAATTAAGTAAATTGATGCAATGGACTTTTTGACGTCATATATGTTTGAATAACTGCTATTTGACAATAAATTAATATTTATTACTCGTATTGTTGTTAAGATTTCTATTTTGCATTACTGCTGCCCACTCAGTACTTCATACGCCATTGTGTTAGGTTGACTGGAAGAGATTTCTTTTAGAAATAAGTTCACCTTTATTTACATTGTTTCTAATTGTTATTATTACTGTTTAATGTTTTACTGTAATAAAGAATTTTATATATATTAATACAATATTGAGTGTGACATATTGGTGTTGGAAAAAATCATCGTGCTATCTACAGTGCAAACATAATACCAGATAGATTATATCATTATTATTCCTGTAGCATTATAAACTATTGTTTTGTTTGCGTAACGGGTGCCTTTATATTACGCTATGGATAACTGTAATTAGCTAGCATTTAGTAAGTGTGTAATGTATAATTAACTATGTAAAACGCTGTTGTTAAATTAAGTAACGAAATAAAATAAATACATTATATATTTTTTATCATTTAGATACCATGTATTTGGGATAAATAACTATGATCATAGAATATTTCGGACATATGTTGCGGATTTTTTTACAAGTACAAAGCAGCGTAATATATAGGAATTTGCTCCTCAAGAAAAAAGCAGCTTTTTTATACAACTTAGAATGGGAACCAAACTGACGGCCCACCTGATGTAAAGTGGTAACCGTCGCCTATAGACATGAGCAATACCATGGACATAACAAAGTATACTGTTTCGTACATGATACCCCCCATGCGTTGCCCTTCCTGAGGACTCAGTAAATTCACGCCATATCCCACCCTTCAACCCTGAAACACAGCCATGCAAACATAACTGCTTCACGGTAGAAACACGAATGGGACAGAGGTACCCAAGCAATCGACTTTTGTACAAAGTCTCCCTCTGGTAGCTTCAATAGTCACAAAATTAATATGGAATTTACACAGAAGTAAACGCTATTGATTTAAAAATATACAATATACGTAATAATATTATGTAACGGTCGTTTTATTGCACACTGAAGGATTTCAAACGACTAATTCTAACTCATGGGGTGTTAAATTTGTGTTTCACAAAAAGGAAAACCGACTTCAATTGTGGTAAAACCAGTTATTTGGTTTTAAAGATTAAATTATGAATTTGATTGTGATAAATTTTTTATGGTATCAATCTGTGAGTAATCCTTTCAAATAAAAAAAGAATTTTGTAATTCGGTTTATAATTGATGGAGTTATGAGGTAAAAAATATTAAAAAAAAAAAACGGTCGAATTGAGAATCTTCTTCGGACTCTGCATAGAATATTAATATATACTTTTATAGTCGACTATCTAATATACATAATAAAAGTATTTTGGATACCATTATATAGTTAATGTAATGAAGTTCCATAAAGAAGTCACATTTGAAACAATGAATTTGTTTTTTTTATGCAACTTAGAATGGCAAACAAGCTGACGGCCCACCTGATGGAAAGTGGTAACCGTTGCCTATAGACATAAGCAGTGCCATGGACATAACAGGTATACCGTTTCACTCATGATACCCCCCATGCGTTGCCATTCCTGAGGACTCAGGTGTTATTCCTCTGTACCCTGTAAATTCACTGTTATATCCCACCCTTCAAATGAAACACAGCCGTGCAAACACAAATGTTTCACGGTAGAAACACGAATGGGATAGATGTGCCCAAGCAAATGACATGATAATTAATTGTGGGTTGATACATGTGGCAGTTTAAAAAATCACCCCAAAGCCGTCTTTTTTAAGACTTGTTTTTGTACTACTTGATGACTGATGATGAAAAAAAATTGAAGTGTTATAAATTGCTGTACAAAATTGTGACGAAGTCGTGGTAACATCTTGTCGAGAATAATATTTTTACTTAAATAATATTTTAATTAAATAAAATAAAAAAAAAATGCCGCCCAATGTTTTCTCAGTGTAACGTTTCCTTATAATTGTTTGTATTTACAATAAGTTTACTAATGTAATCTTTTGAAAAAAAAAGAGTCTTTATCCATGTGTGTAGAATTGAGGACATAGTTTAATATTTGTCCCGGTCCGTAAATATAGTCCGGTCACTCGAACGAAGTCGCTGGTAAAAGCTAGTATCCTACTACTATTATAAACGAGAAAATTTACGAAAATGTACAGATATAACTACATTTTTATTTTGCCAAAGTTTGATTGGGAGAGAATGCTATATTTATTATATGTATATTCCAATATTTTTTTTCTAATGTGTCCAATAAAGAATTAACAAATAAAAAGTAAACTATATCGATTTAAAAAAATTGTCACTCACCATCAGGCGAACCGTATGCTTGATTGCCCTCTGTGTTCTAAAAAATATGAAAATCGATTCAGAAAATATAATTACAGTGTAATAATGATATATTATTATTAAACTACAAGTGGATTATGTCTTAACTTAGCATATACTTTATACGAGTATATTGATTCACGTAGGCAAAGCCATGGAAAATAACTAGTAATAAATAAATATGTATTGTAATTTCTACCTATATCGCCTTACAAGCATTGCTTTTAAAAAATCGACACGAGTAATATCCAACTTATACGAGTACCATAGTTTTAAGGAAACTATTGAGATTTTCTGTAATGGATTTCTCGTGTTATTTGTCGTTTAGAGTTTGATTTATGTACTTACTTTACTATAATCTATATTTTGATCGTACAGATTATGGCACGAATAAATGGATATGTCGGTAGGGGCCACCCTAGACGGACGTATGTCGACCAAATAGATGACATGCTGAAGAAGGAGCAAATTAAATATACCCGTAACCGGCGAGTGTGCGAATTTACTGGGTACAGAGGAATAACACCTGAGTCCTCAGGAATGGCAGCGCATGGGGCGTATCATGGGCGAAACAGTATACTCTGTTATGTACATGGTACTGCTCATGTCTATAGGCGACGGTTACCACTTTCCATCAGGTTGTTTGCCATTCTAAGTGGTATAAAAAAATCACAATAAATAAAATAAAAAAGATACATGTACAAAAAATAAGAAATAAATCCTATCCTTAAAAAATCGTAGGTATCCTGGCTTGAGGACCAGGCGTATGGTACTTTTTTTATACCACAATAGTGGCAAACAAGCATACAGCCCGGCTAATGGTAAATGGTTACTGTAGCCCATGGGCGTCTGTAATACTAGGAATGCTACGTGCGCGTTGCCGATCCTGATGAAACTTTAATATTTTTGAACTATCCACTGCTAAACATAGATCTCTCTCATGAAAGAGAGTTCTGCCAGTAGTTTCCACGTTTAGCAGGCAGATCGTCAACCACATTTAGCCTAACTGTACTCCTATGGTATTCAGGGGCCAGCTTATAGTTGGTTAGAGAGTTATCTGGCGAATAGATATCAACATGTGGAAATTATTCGTCTGGATAAAAAATCAGTATTAACATCATATAAATCAAGTAGTAAGCACAATGGCTACGATGTACCTCAAGGAAGTATTTTGGGGCCTTTATTATTTCTTACTTATATAAATGATTTACTTAAGGTTACAAAACATGAATGTGTATTATTCGCTGATGACATTTCTGTTACTATTACATGTGACTCAGAAAACTTGGGAAGTTTAGAAGATGAGATTAACCTAACAGTTAATTCCATCATACAATGGCTTAAAGAAAATAATCTTACTGTGAATCTTGATAAAACTGGATATATTCAATTTAGAAACAAAGGTGAAACTGAACTTGGACTAAATATAAAATATAACAGCGAAAGCATCAAGTTACTTTATGAAACCTCATTTCTTGGAGTCACAATGGACTATAATTGCAACTGGAAAGCCCAAATAGATAAGGTCTGTAACAAAATAAATAAATTTGTATATGTCCTTAGAAGATTAAGTAAAACTACTGATGAGAAAACAACCCTGATGGCATATCACGGATATGTAGCCTCACAATTGCGATATGGCTTAATAGTATGGGGTAATTCCACAGACATTAATAAGGCTTTCTTGGTACAGAAGAAATGTATCCGTGCTCTTTGCGGCCTTCCACCATGGAAGTCTTGCCGACCACTATTTAAAAAATATAAAATACTTCCACTAGCTTGCATGTATATTTATGAAGCAGCTGTATTTGTTAAGAAAAATATAAACAGCTTTATTACTGCCAAAGAACATTATCCGCGAAATAGAAGAAATCCAAATAGACTAGTATTAAACAGAATTCCTAAGACTACGATTTATCAAAAAAATTTTTATAATATGTGTATAAGAATTTTTAATAATATACCCGAAGATATGATAAATATAAAAACACTGACAAAATTTAAGAACACACTGTACAAATGGCTTTTGGACAAATGTTATTACTCAATTAAGGACTTGTTGGACTAAAGAATAATTCTACTTTATAAGCACATAAATAATATTTTGTTAATAGTATTAGTAGTAGTAGTATTTAGTAGAAAAGAAGTTACCATAAATATTAAAATTTTGCATGCCATTGTTTTGGCAAAACACGCCTGTTCCTAACATATTATTGCTAACATCTGTATACCGTGTTTTTCAGCAAATAAATTATATTATTATTATTATTATTAACACCATGCACGTTTGTCATTCAAGTAATTGTTTAGTGTGTAATAGGCTTTGTTCAATAAGTGTTATTTAATAACAATTTTAAATTTAATAAAATGTAAGTCTAAAATATCCTTCGGCATCTTATTATAACCTTTAATACCCATTCCCATAAAAGACTTATTAACTTTTTTTAAACGATACTTCGGAACAGCAAGTTTGTATTTGTATCTAGTATTAAGATATTAAAATCGTTGTTTTATCCTTTCAACAAATGCAAAATGGTGGAAAATCCATATCTGTGGCGTCGCGTGAGCGGACTTTACACAGACTAGATATTTTAGCGTATAGGTTTAAAAAACCTGATTTTCCCGAAATCTAATTGTAATTATACAAAATTTAGATTAGGTTTATAGTCCAACTAGATTTCTTTATGTAATTTCTTACACTACACTCGACTTTGAATTGCATTGCAACTCTTCTATGAGAAACAAAATGGGGTCACCTAACTTACCTTTTATTTTTCAATTATTAAAAAGCTTAGACCTTGGTGGATGTAAAATTATATGTTTTTTGTACAATATTATATACTTGATAAAATAAAAATAAAATGGCTTATGTTCCAATACATTTTTTATACGGCCTTGTTTATAAACATGGACCAAAAAAGTCCCTCTTTAATTGACACTTAAGTGGGTCTCATATTTCATTAGTTTTACGTACTTTCTAGGGACAAGAGGTGGTTTGTTTACAATAATTTAAGCTTATCGCCGAGCTAGTTTAGACAAAACAGTATATATGACATTATTATCTATATGTCGGCCAAGCGGACGTAACACAGATGCGCATTTTGTAGCATATGAGAGGCTAAAAAAACAGTCGAAATTATGTAATTACAAAATGTTTTATTAATACATGTATTGCGAAGCCACCACATTCCAGTTCTGAATTAAAATAGACAATATGCAAATAAAATAAACTTTCAAATAATTAATTATGCGAGTTGTTGACTAATTATTCACTTTCAGTTACAGTTTTTCATAAAATATTTTGTATTCATGACGCCACTGGCCCGAGGCACCGTTTGTAATAAATTACTGTGTTGCCAGTCTCCAACGGGGCGAGTATTTATGCCTTTTAAAAGGACATTCATTTTTGAACGGTTCAATAAGTTTTCATTATTACGCAACTGGACAAATAATTATTATGTATTTATTAACACTCTATCTATTCCATACATGTAATAAAACTGTAGAGGTCAAATGTCTGTATATAGAAAAATAAACGCTAAAAACCGAGTCAGGGGAATGTTAGAAGTGAAATAGAACACATCTAGATTATTTTCAAGTTTATTCTTTGTTTTTCTGTTTGTACAGGCTAATCTCAGAAACTGTTCGACCGATTTAAATGATTTTGCAAATTGGTACCTTACATTTTAGGTCAACATTTTAGATACTTTTAATCACGAAAAATATAAGAGTTCCCGTGAGATAGTTAAAAAACTATAGTAACATATACAGCTTAGTACACAACCTACTTAAGTAAAGTCATTTTGACCCAAATCAAAGAGTGAGAACGACACGTCATTTGTTAATTTTAGTCCAGTATTCCCAGACATAGTTCATTACATTGCATTTCGGTAAATGTTTGAGAATTCAAGTTGACGAAGGAGGGGTGGGGCAAAGTTGCCGCTGTCTCTCTGTAATAAATAAATATAAACTTAGTATAAATAAATAAAAATTATATATATATATTATTATATTATAAATATAAATTAGTTTTAACCCAATTACAAAATTGACTTCTCACCTTTAAAATCAAAATATGCACGTACGGGGTAAAATTTTCCTCACCATTTACCGACTGTAAATATACAAGGCCTTTTTACAACAATGATAAATTTAGGGCGTTGCCGTATTCAGCAAAAACGTGTTTATGAAATATTGGTTACGTGCACACGAATATATTGTACTGAGTATGGTTCCCATAACATTCGTTAAAGCAAACGAGTAGGAGCAAACTCTCTGTGACAGCAGCAAATATTGAAAATTCATAGATTGCTATAACCCGACTGCGGAATAAAGAAGAGTAATATTAATCGAGTATGTAGGGTGAAATCGTTACCGATAAAACTAAATGTTTCACCAACGAAATATGGATCAAAAAACGATAAAAAAAAGTTTTCATACTAACACAGCGTATCTATCTGTTAATATGAAGGGCGCGATTTTTTGTCGTTTATAATTTTTTTATTCAAAAATTTTTAATTTTATTTTATTATCACGAAATACTTAATTTTACTTAAGGTTTAAATTCTCGAATTTATTTATTTAAGACAAACATCATCGTTATCATCATCATCAACCTTTAACTGTCAATGCTGAACATCCTCTCCCTTAGGGATATTTGCTAGTAGTTGCCACACTCGGCAGACGGACTGGCAACCGCAGTTAGGCTTTAAAGACGTTTTAAGAGGGACACGGCTGCTCATCCCTCGCCCTCCTTTAGTTGCCTCTTACTACACCCACGGGAAAGGAAGAAGTGGACTATTCTATAGGTAAACATACAAGTTAAAAAAAACTAAATTAGGATAAATAATAGCTTTATATTATAAAGGTGAAAGTCAATTTGTTTATAACCTCTTCAAACGGAAAAAACCGCAGGTTACAACAACTAGTATAATATAAAAAAGTATCTGTTACTTATAATATATATATATATATATATATATATATATATATATTATAAGTATATGTATATATATATAAGTATCCGTTACTTACACACTAAACGATTACTTGAATGACAAACGTGCATGGTGTTAGGCTAAATGCGGTTGACAATCTGCCTGCCAAACGTGGAAACTACTGGCAGAAGTCTCTTTCATGAGAGAGATCTATGTTTAGCAGTGGATAGTTCAAAAATATTAAAGTTTCATCAGGGTCGGCAATGCGCACGTAGCATTCCTAGTATTACAGACGCCCATGGACTACAGTAACCATTTACCACTAGCCGGGCTGTATGCTTGTTTACCACTATTGTGGTATAAAAAAAGTACCATACGCCTGGTCCTCAAGCCAGGATACCTACGATTTTTTAAGGATAGGATTTATTTTTTATTTTTTGTACATGTATCTTTTTTTATTGTGATTTTTTTTATACAACTCAGAATGGCAAACAAGCTGACGGCCCACCTGATGGAAAGTGGTAACCATCGCCTATAGACATAAGCAGTACCATGGACATAACAGAGTATTTTGTTTCGCCCACGATACCCCCCATGCGTTGTCATTCCTGAGGACTCAGGTGTTATTCCTCTGTACCCTGTAAATTCACGCCATATCCCACCCTTCAAACCGAAACACAGCCATGCAAACACAATTGCTTCACGGTAGAAACACGAATGGGACAGAGGTACCCAAGCAATTGACTTTTGTACAGTCTCCCTCTGGATTTTTATGTCTATTGCTGTTTGTGTGCTGTAAGTAATGCAAATAAATTATCTATCTATCTATCTATCTATACCCTAGGACGACTTAGGCAATGAACACGTAAACGCCCAATCCCAATCCTAAACTAATTCAGAAAAATTCGATTCCCCGATCTGGAATCGAATCAGGGATTACATTCACGCAAAGCAACGTGCTCGCCACTGCGCCACGAAGATCGTGTGATGACGATATTATTGTATCTTACCTTAAAGTTTGACAGATATGATGAAATAACAAGAGTTCGGTTTTGAGCGTTTGTCTACGCAACTCTAAAATTATATGTACTAAAAAGTAAGTGCCTAAGTATGGACAACAGTTACCATTATCCTAAAATCCTATATAAAACTGAGTCTCGGTCACTGAACTCGAGTTGTAAAATAAACTTTATGTATAAGAGAGAACAGAATTTGGCTTTTTAATTAACAAATTAAAAAGCTGTTTTTAATCGCATTAATTTGTTTTCTGAATTAAGTGGTCTTTAAATTGCAGGTTCAATTTGCACTATAAAAATTTCGTGGACCGTTCAATTTCAATTTGCATTTAATAATTTTAAAGATATTATTTTTATTTTCAACCAATGTCTAAAAGGAGAAGTTTGTCAATTCAGCAGTATTTTTATTTATGTTTATAACTCCATCCGTTATAAACCAATTATCCACGGCTGAACATAGGCCTCCCCTGGCTACCGCAGTTTTCTTTTTAATTAATGTTAATGGAATGGTAAACCCGCCTGCGCTAACGGTATACGCTGGCGGAGCACCAGTGAGGAGTGATTGGTGAGAATGAAAAAGTAAGTCAGTTAGCCCATCGTGATAAATACACCAAGAATTCAGCATGATGGTTTCCAGAGGGGATCACGTGGAGGTCGACCTTATAGGTCATATTGCTAACAATGGTACTAATAGTTACTAACATCCCCTTCACCCCGGCAACCGCAGTTACGCCTTGATAATGTTTTAAGAGCTCCTGCCCATTCCTCGACCATTAAGTTCCTTAAGTCCCCTCTTACGACACCCACGGGAAAATAAGAAGTGACCTTTTCTATGTTGGGACCAGACAGCAATATCACTGGTTATTTGATTTAAATTACCTGATGGAAAATAGTAACTGTCATTTCTAGACAAGAACAGCACTCAAAGTTTCACCGAATACATTGCGACCTCTCATGTTTTGCCATTCCTGAGGAATTATGCTAATTGAATATTAAGACTTAATGAATTATTAAGACATTATGCTGTAGTAATACGAGTGGGACAAAGGTATAGCTTTAAAGGCAACTTAGGTACAATTTCCCTAACTCTCCTCACAATAAAATTCATCTAGTTTATTGTGGGTATTATCCAAATTGTTAGATCATAAAGTAAGGCTCTGAAATAGAAGAACCTCTTTAAAACTGCATTTAGATTATTCTATTTTGTTTATTAAATATATTTTTTTAGATTTTATTAATTATAATAAATAGCAAGACATTCTTGAGTGTCCGGGATGTCTCAACTTCACAAAGTTCGCGGACTAATGCTCGCATTCACTCCATTTCAGTGAATAGTTTTAATTTCAAAGTTGCCCAGCGCAAGCCTCTTTGACTTGAATCCATTGGTTCAAAAAGATGTTTGCCCGATATCTTTTAATTAAAGTTTTCAAAAGTTTCCTCGGATTTATCTAAATAAAGATTGGTGTACGTAGTTTTAGCGGATTAGACAAGAAACTTTGTTCATTATAACATAGGTGACATATGTGTTTCGATCAAAAGTTTGTTCTCGAAAAGGAAACCGATGGAACAAACTTTATTAGTGATATACTAGTAATTAGGTACGGCTTGGTTGGTTTGATTACATTTATAATTTATTTATTATCAGACAATATTACATACTTACTACAATATTATAACTTACTTGTCAAATTCTTTTAAAGTACGTGCTCTGTATATAAATAAAGGGTATTTTTTAATTCAATTAATTTATTCATTAACATCATATCAGCCCTTACCGGTCCACTGCTGAACATAAGCCTCCCCTTTGGGGGGTTTTTTTAATGGATGATAATGAAATGGTAACCCCACCCGCGCTATCGGTATACACCGGCGGGGCACCAGTGAAGAATGATAGGTGAGGATGAAGTAGGTCAGCTAGCCCATCGTGACGAATTCAACGAGAATTGTTCACGATGGTTTCCAGGGGGAACCACATGGAGGTCTACCTAATAAGGTATATTGATAGCAATGGGGCTGTCAAACTCCATTGCTAACAATGCTTCCCCCCCCCCCCTAGGGGGTTTTGTCAGTAGTCGTCACGCTTGGCTGGTGGATTAATAACCGCAGTTAGGCTTTAGAGATGTTTTAAGAGGGACGCTGCTGCCCATCCCTCGCCCTCCGTTAGTCGCCTCCTACGACACCCATTGGAAAGGAAAGAGTGGCCTATTTCTATGCCGGGACCAGACGGACGAATTAATTTATTATTTAATGCAATTTCCAAAAAGAGGGTTAGGGTACATTACGTTGCCAATTCAAAACGGAGTTTGACATTTATTTTAGTAATCGATTGGATTTATAGGAAGGAGACTCAAAATAAGAGTTTTAAGCCAATATTAATTTTATTATGTATATGTTTATTTGTGAGGAAGATAAAACCTACTTGTTGCGAAGCAAGTTAATTATTTGTAGACACGATTTTGCGTTATAAATTCAGTATTTTCCATGTAATGTGTCTACCAAATATCTATTTACTCTGTTTTTTTGCACTTAAAAAATTTATTTGTTATGTATGAAATAAAAGTTTTTTTGCGCTTCTATAATTCAATTTAATTTCACACAGAATAGGGTTTTATTTAATTTAAAAATATATGTAAGTATCATTTTTTTCTGTAATTTTAGTATATGTAAAATCTACAATCAAATTATTCCCATAACGAAGACAGACAATTGAAGTCACTGCAAATAAAATTATAGTTATTATCATGTTACTAATTTTTTTTATTATAACTAGGTAATGTCTAACTAGGTGGATTTAAAAAAAAAAAGAAAAAAAAAAAAGAAACCTAAGTAGACCTTCAATAGCAAAACTAAAATAGCAAAAAAGTTGTCGTATAAAAATTAACGACAGAAAATAAAGTTTCTTTTAAAAAAAAAAAATAAAAAAAAATAGGTGGATTTTACTAAGAGCAATAGAAATTTGAACAATAATTTGAAGGAATTTTGCCTGTATTTGTGTATGTTTCTTCTGGTATGACACTAAAACAACTGCATCAAATTGAATGCGGTTTTTACAGTTGAATTCCTTAAGGTCTCATTTAAAAACTGGTGTACGTTTTATCTCGATATACCATCTAGAAGTAATCTAGTTCATTGCTTTTCATTTACTTTCGAAATTTACGTGCTAGAAGTCGCAGGCTTAAAGATTGTTAAATGATAACATTAGACAAGCATAGCCATGATGCAGTGGGAGAGTAAAATACATATATGCACTCATCGGCTGTTTCTTTAATTTATTATATAATTTTGCACGGCACATAACAAGCTAACTTTTGTTCGTAACTTCGCAAGCGTGGATGATGCGAGTGCGTAATCCTTGCAGATGGTGCCACTACTTTTTTATAGTAATCCCATATATCCAATAAATCTCAACTAAAAGTTTATCAATTAATTCTTTTGATGAACCGAAAAGTGATATAATATTCCCATATTTAGAACTAACAAAATTTTCCATCGTGCCTCCCACCAAATTGTTTATAATTACTCCTCTCCATCCAAAGGTTGCCTGGAAGAAATCGCTCTTAGCGATAAGGTCACCCATTGTTTTCTCATTGTGATTATTTCTTGTAATTATTTATATTTATAATAAGTTTACTATTGTAACCTTTTGAAGGCAACAATAAAGAGTATCTATCTATCTATCCCATATATTTTTTTTCGGTTTCTACTACATATTTTTATACATACTATATGTCTATTCTTTTAGAAGATACATCTTCACTTTGTGTATTATTATTATAATATCAGTCGTTAACTGTCCACTGCTGGACATAGGCCTAGTATAATAAGTGGGGTTAAGCCAGTAATTGCCACGCTTGGCAGGAGTGCAGGAGTATCCCTCTTAAAACATCACCAAAATCTAACTGCGGTTGCCAAACCGCGAGCCAAGCGTGGCAACTACTGGTAAAACCCCCCAAGGGGGATGCTTATGTTCAGCAGTGGACAGTTAAAGGCTGATATGATGATGATGATGAATGGTATTTTATGGCTTTATTTGCTAATATTGTGGAATTATAACTCTTGGCATCATCGATTGTGTATCAGAAATATTGACCTTTTTTACAAACGTCTCTTGTTTTCTGGAAATGATTGGCTCCTTTTCCGGTATCATTGGCACTATAGCTGGATGATATGGTTTCAATTCAACATCTGATGTCCTCTCCGTTACAATATCTATTGGTACGGCCGATTCTGAGCATTTAAGGCAAAGCACAACTGAAATGAAGTTATTATTAAAGTCTAAGTAGGTGCTGTCTATACAAAATCAAGTTTTCTTTCTTTCTTTCTTAATTAGTATTATTTAATTTATTATACTTTTGCATACATTTAAATATGTCTAACAAGGTGCATATAATGCCCGATGTGAATTTCTAACCAGTCAACCGTCACGGTAAACAGAGAGAGTAAATGGCGGTGCATTGATTTTATAATTTGTAAATAAAATAAATATTTTTAAAGGTAACATTAATACATTTTAAGATAAGTGAATATACAAAAATATAGAATAATATACTTATAAAAATTATACATACATATATCATCACATACAATACAATGCATATATAAATAACTATATATATTACATATTGATATAATAAATATATAAGTCATGGCTAATCATATAATAGTATAGACTGAAACTCTTCATTGTGGTAATAAAAGTAAAGGGATTTTTTAAAAGAAATTTTGATATGTAATTTTTTTTATACAACTTAGAATGGCAAACAAGGTAACGGCCCACCTGATGTAAAGTAGTAATCGTCGCCTATAGAGATGAGCAGTACCATGGACATAACAGAGTATACTGTTTCGCCCATGATACCCCCCATGCGTTGCCATTCCTGAGGACTCAGGTGTTATACCTCTGTACCCAGTAAATTCACGCCATATTCCACCCTTCAAACTGAAACACAGCCATGTAAACATAACTGCTTCACGGTTAAAACACGAATGGGACAAAGGTACCCAAGCAATCGACTTTTGTACAAAGTCTCCCTCTGGTAATTAAGTAATTTAATAATTATAAAAAATTAAATAACATAGCATATTAATGAACAATTACATATGCTATCTTGTAATTGTGTCAATTGAATTGACTAATTTAAATAACTTTAATATGTATGTATTTAAATTAAATGCTTCCAAGTATTTCAGTGTTAAAATATTTAAGCGAGTTAAAACATGTAAATCTATTTGTCTTAATAACTTCACTCACGTCACTTATTAAACCAATTTACATATTTATTTGTACATTTGTCGGACTGACTATATTTATTTATTTATTTATTTGAAAATTACTCACCCCACTTACAGTTTCCCAAAACGTGTAGTGAGCCATAGTTTTATTTTACAAACTTACAAATTTTGTACAACATTTTGAAAATATATTTATTTTGTCATGAAATATGTCAATATCTGGCTACTGAGCAATCAGAGAATTGAGCAGAGAAATAGCTTGATAAGTGGGAGCAAACTGAGCAGTACAAGTGCGAACCGGCGGTGCCGATAGTAGTCGACAAGCTGCGTGCTTGTCGCATGCAGTGTTGGGGTGCGTACAAAGGACAACGGCTAAGAGTTGCAGGATTGTCTATTCCGCCGTTGTATATACATCCATGTTTTAACTTAGGCAGTTATTAATCTTAAATCTATTTTCAAATTACATAACAGATTCTTAATAATTTTTTTTTTATATCGGGCAGAATCGAACTTACAACAATTGTATGCACGTTATATATTTAACTATAGGACCGCTTCTACCAAAACCTTATACTTACGTAATCCAACGAAAAATATAAAATTCAATTTTATATTTTTCGTTTTTTTTCTTTTAAAGTTGATTAAATTATTTTCTGTTGTGGTTTTGTGCACGGGCATTTTATATCGGAATGTATCTACGACGTATACGAAATGGAATAACAAATTGAAACGCTACCTTATCAGTGAAATTCATTTCCTTTACATATATTGGAAACGTAATTCACCCATTGGTTACATTTACAAACCTGTGTACACATTCTGGTATGAGTGGCGATTCTAATCTTTTAACACTGTTTAGTTGTAGCGATTTGTATGGTTTGATTTGTTTTTTTTTTTAGAGTTTCCTCTTATTGGTGCAACTAATTCATGTATCCTCTTCCAGCCAGCTTTTTTTAAAAATTGAAAATGGAATAGTAGCTACATTTGAGTTATTGCTATATTTTGAATCAAATCTGTTGGTCCTCTGTAATAGATCACTTGGAATTAACCACGAATTAATGTATATTTTGATTTAAAAAAAAAATGTATGCTACAATATCAACAGTTTGTTAAGCTTGGAATATTTTATATGTAGCATGTGAAATAGTACATATCTTGCAAACTAATACGTCACAACTGCTATATTTCTAGTATTTAATAAAATATATATCAGTGTAATCTATATTGCCTAACCTACAAGGAATATGCAGTTAAACATATACAGGTGCAGTGTGAAAGACATAAACGGGATTCAAGTGTGTTGGGCATAGTGTGACTTATAGTTTGACGACATTAGACGCTTAGACGGTTGAGCTACGGTGAGTCATAACATCTACTTACAATTTACGTGCTACGTTTCGCTGTCGCCGATACAAGATTCCGTATCTACCCACCTGTATATTATTGACTGCATTTTATATCGAGGAAATTAAATACTTATAAATAACTACATTACGCATAAATATGGAAACGTGCTCGGCATGTAATAAAAAATTTAAAACTGACGAATCGCTTAAGTGTAATCAGTGTAATGAATCTTTTCATTATAAGTGTTTAAATATGAGTTTGAATGCTTATCAAAATTTGAAATTAAGTAATAAGCCATGGCAATGTTGTGTATGCATCAATATTACTCGGCGAAGAGGGGACAACACGAATACCCCAGTCCGTAAACCAAATACACTTGACGAATCGGTGATGTCATGTGATGTTACTATGAATCAAAGTGAAATGGAATGTTCCGTGTCTGCTGAAAATCATACTATTTCGCTGCAACAATTTGGAGTTTTGTTGGATTCTAGATTGGAAAGGTTTAAAGCTGATTTTTTCTCAGATATTAAGGCTTCCATAAGAAGTGAGATTCACTTGGCTATTACTGCATTAAAGGATGAATTCACAGTCACCGTCGACTTTTTAGAGGAAGGACAAAAAAGAATCAACGGTACCTTGGCGGCTGCAGTTGAGAGAGTTTCTGAACTGGAATGTAATAAAAACAAGCTTCAGGGTGATATTTACGAACTTGAACGTCGATTAAAAATTTCTGAAAAAACATCTCGTAGCATGAACATTGAAATACAAGCTGTTCCTGAAAAACGCAGTGAAAATGTTGTTGGTATTTTCAAAAAAATATGTGATGTGATTAATTTCCCTATATCTGATACTGAAATTCATGCATGCCGCCGAGTTGCTAAAATTAATTCCTCTTCAAATCGTCCTCGTAACATACTTGTTACTCTGCCATCTCCTCGTCATCGTGACAATATCTTATCTGCTGTTAGAAAGTTTAATAAGGATAACCCTAAACAAACTTTAAGCACATTCCATCTTGGTTACTCTGGAGAAACAAAGAAAATGTATATAGTTGAACATTTATCTCCTGAATGTAAGGAACTTCACTCACTAGCCAGAAGATTTGTTAAGGATAAGGCTTATAAGTTTGTATGGGTAAAATATGGACAAATATACATTCGAAAAGATGAACAATCAAGTGCTGTGCTAGTAAAAAACGCTGAAATGCTTAAGAGACTTTTATAATTTTTTTTTTTCTTTCTCACTCTTTGTACTCTGTTTATGTATGAATGCTATCACTTTATATTGTTTTTTTTTCCATATGTTAATATATTATCAAAATGTCAATCGCTTTCGTTCAAAAGTTACTGAATTCTATCTTAATTTATTGAATACCGATTATGAGATAATTTGCTTAACTGAAACTAATTTAAATTTAAGTGTTTATAGTGAAGAATTGTTTGATGAGCGCTACAATGTATTTCGTAGGGATAGAAGTAACGAAACTAGTGTAAAGGCAGAGGGGGCTGAGTTTTATTGGCTACAAAAAAACTATTGAATGTATCTCGTAGATATGAATGGGACAGTTCAGCTGAGGATCTTTGGTTAACCGTGCATTCTCCATTGTCTAAGTCTTCGGTAAATATTTGCTTAAGTTATTTACCTCCTGATATGCCCCTCAACAAAGTTATTGCATTTTTTGAACACTGTCAAGATATTATTTTAAACAATGGTGAAGCTGGTTCTTTCTTGCTTGTTGGTGATTTCAATATACCTAATATAACTTGGCAACGAGACTCTAATTTGAATATCATGCAGCCTATAAATGCTTTTCACTATAGAGCTTCTATACTATTAGAGACTATGGCAATCTGTAATCTTAGCCAATTTAATCATTTGGTCAATGCAAATGAAAGAATTCTTGACTTGGTTTTGAGTGATTGTGGCAGTATCGATGTTGTGAGCGTTGAACCACTTAGTAAGATAGACAAACACCACCCATCTATAGCTATTAACATAGATTTTCGCCAAGGTGAAATGATTTCTCTTAGTAGATCAAACTCTAATAATTGTAGACCTAATTTTCGTAAATGCGATTATACTAAAATTAAAAATGAACTGAAATCTATAGACTGGATAGCACTGTTTTCGGATTTAGATGTGGACTTGGCTGTTGAATTATTTTATTCTAAGTTGAATGAAATAATTTACCTTTACACGCCTATGCAGAGTTCCAAAAATAATAAATACCCGTTTTGGTACAATTATGCTTTAATACGTTGTATTCGGGAAAAAAACAAATATCATAAAAAATTTAAAATGTATGGGAACCCAAGAGATTATGATACCTTTAATTTACTTCGTCGACGTTGTAAACAGATGATTGATCAGTGCTATAAATCGTTTGTCAATTCAGTAGAAGATGATCTTTCAGACGACATTAAAACTTTCTGGCGATATGTTAATAGTAAAAAATCAAACAATACAATCCCTCAAACTATGACCTACAATAATATAACGGCAACAGAAATACCCGGTATATGTGAACTATTTTCTGATTATTTTAAATCAGTCTTTGAAATTTCTACTGGTGAAGTCAATTATCGGCCACAAATAAACACGCCAGTCTTGAGTAGTTTAACTATAACCTCTAAGGATATAATTAAGGGTATCAGAAAATT